TGAATAGTGTGAGTATTGATTCTACCTTCCGGGAGGGAAAAAAAGTGTGAGTATTGATTCACAAGTTTATTTTGATGTTTCTTCAGGTTTGATTTGACTTCTTATTCTAGTTGGTAATCTACTATAGTGTTTCTTTCATGGTCCGTTACATACTAAGAGATGTGCATTTTTTTGTTCAAATATTCTTCCAGATGCTAGATTAGGAATCATTTGAAACTCTTTCGTAAGTCTATCTAACTTGTATGTACAAAATTGAAAGTCCACAATAATAACCAAATTCAAATTCAAGTATATTTATATTTTTAATGAAATGTGATTTTTTAAGATTCTCATTCTTTTTACTTTTCAAGGTGATTTGATTCACCTAGAATAATAATAATATATAGTAATACTCTCTCGTCCCATAAAATTATTCCCTGTTTGAATTGAATCAGAGTTTAGAGTCCGTTTGGTAATCCTGTTTTTTGGCTTATCAGGCTTATCGGCCAATTTTTCATCAAAGACGTATTTTTTGATTTCACGTACTCAATTGTGTAATAATAACAAAAAGTAAGGTTGGAGTTACTTTTCTGAGTTATTGGCTTAAGTTAACGCAGTGGACCATTTTAGCTATTTTTATATAAGTTTCTCTTCATTTTCATAAATCAATAGAATCAATCACTCCGGCCACTTATGCCAGAACTTCATAAATTTCAGCAGAATCAGCCGATTCAGTCGATTTTGGCATTACTAAACGGGCTCTAAGAAAGTGAGAAGAAAGTGAAAAAATGAGATTGTGGTTGAGTAAGAAAAAGGTAAATCAATTTTAGCCACACGAACACTCCAAAGATCAATGAGAGCTTATAAGAAGAAAATTATCCCACTCAATTGCATGCTAGCTACCTTACTTTATATCTAAAAGTACTATGTATGAGAGAGAAGTTCTTCAACTGAAATGTAAACCGGCTTATCTTATACTTAAAAAAACTATGAGAAATTTTACAAAATAGGACTATTACTTATCAAAATTTCAAAAACAGGACATCCACTTTTCCCCCGACTCGCATAGGACCAAATATGCGCTGAATTGCCAAAAATGACCTCATTAAACGATACACACGTACTCTTCCCTTATTTGACGGTTACTTCTTCCCCCCGGCTATTCCCGGTTTCCAAGCATCCATTATGATCATGGCCGCCGAAAAAGAGATTCAAAATTAAATGAACATGTATCGGAACGGTTGAGAGCTGCGATTGAAGAGACCAGTCATTCTACGAGTATCAAACGTGCACTTCGATTCAAAACTTCAAAGCACAGAGGTAGTAAACTTTCGTCTTAGACGACCCTCAAATTTGAGGAGAGTAGAATCGTTGAGCAGAGTTGATGGACAGAGCTATGGATTTGTCAAACAAAGTTTCCGTCAGAATCAATTCCGAAATAGTAAGTACTAATTTCGTTGAGTAGAGGAATGTCTGAAATTGACAAAAGTTTGACAGTTAAAGGAGTTTAGAAAGTTTAAATCGTTTGAATGTAAAAACATTTCATTGCATCATGTTCTTATATGGTGGCATTTTAAGTGTGTATGAAGACTATGGTTACATTTTGTATGAAAAGTGACATTCCACTAATATGTGGTTATGTAGTGGGGTTGTAAGTATGTATCATTACTGTGATGACAGTTTGCTTGAAATAGTGACATTTTATGAATATGTCTTAGATTGAACAGAAATTAACACAACATTGAAATGGCAATTGAAAGTCTGACACATAAATGACATTTTAGTGAGAATTTAGCAGATCATTTGTAGTTTGTGATGTTGTTATACAACAAAATAGTGCAAAATAAAGAAGTATATGGTGGCATTTTGTATGAAAAGTGACATTCCACTAATATGTGGTTATGTAGTGGGGTTGTAAGTATGTAACATTACTGTGATGACAGTTTGCTTGAAATAGTGACATTTTATGAATATGTCTTAGATTGAACAGAAATTAACACAACATTGAAATGGCAATTGAAAGTCTGACACATAAATGACATTTTAGTGAGAATTTAGGAGATCATTTATAGTTTGTGATGTTGTTATACAACAAAATAGTGCAAAATAAAGAAGTATATGGTGGCATTTTGTATGAAAAGTGACATTCCACTAATATGTGGTTATGTAGTGGGGTTGTAAGTATGTATCATTACTGTGATGACAGTTTGCTTGAAATAGTGACATTTTATGAATATGTCTTAGATTGAACAGAAATTAACACAACATTGAAATGGCAATTGAAAGTCTGACACATAAATGACATTTTAGTGAGAATTTAGCAGATCATTTGTAGTTTGTGATGTTGTTATACAACAAAATAGTGCAAAATAAAGAAGTATATGGTGGCATTTTGTATGAAAAGTGACATTCCACTAATATGTGGTTATGTAGTGGGGTTGTAAGTATGTATCATTACTGTGATGACAGTTTGCTTGAAATAGTGACATTTTATGAATATGTCTTAGATTGAACAGAAATTAACACAACATTGAATTGGCAATTGAAAGTCTGACACATAAATGACATTTTAGTGAGAATTTAGCAGATCATTTGTAGTTTGTGATGTTGTTATACAACAAAATAGTGCAAAATAAAGAAGTATATGGTGACATTTTGTATGAAAAGTGACATTCCACTAATATGTGGTTATGTAGTGGGGTTGTAAGTATGTATCATTACTGTGATGACAGTTTGCTTGAAATAGTGACATTTTATGAATATGTCTTAGATTGAACAGAAATTAACACAACATTGAAATGGCAATTGAAAGTCTGACACATAAATGACATTTTAGTGAGAATTTAGCAGATCATTTGTAGTTTGTGATGTTGTTATACAACAAAATAGTGCAAAATAAAGAAGTATATGGTGGCATTTTGTATGAAAAGTGACATTCCACTAATATGTGGTTATGTAGTGGGGTTGTAAGTATGTATCATTACTGTGATGACAGTTTGCTTGAAATAGTGACATTTTATGAATATGTCTTAGATTGAACAGAAATTAACACAACATTGAAATGGCAATTGAAAGTCTGACACATAAATGACATTTTAGTGAGAATTTAGCAGATCATTTGTAGTTTGTGATGTTGTTATACAACAAAATAGTGCAAAATAAAGAAGTATATGGTGGCATTTTGTATGAAAAGTGACATTCCACTAATATGTGGTTATGTAGTGGGGTTGTAAGTATGTATCATTACTGTGATGACAGTTTGCTTGAAATAGTGACATTTTATGAATATGTCTTAGATTGAACAGAAATTAACACAACATTGAATTGGCAATTGAAAGTCTGACACATAAATGACATTTTAGTGAGAATTTAGCAGATCATTTGTAGTTTGTGATGTTGTTATACAACAAAATAGTGCAAAATAAAGAAGTATATGGTGGCATTTTGTATGAAAAGTGACATTCCACTAATATGTGGTTATGTAGTGGGGTTGTAAGTATGTATCATTACTGTGATGACAGTTTGCTTGGAATAGTGACATTTTAGTGAGAATTTTGCAGATCATTGGTAGTTTGTGATGTTGTTATAAAACAACATAATGCAAAATAGAGAAGAATATGGTGGCATTCTGAATGAAAAGTGAAATTGCAAGAATTATCACAATTTATGGGAAAGTATGAAACTGGCAAACTAATGACTTAAGTAGTTAATATTACCATGTTATTTATGAATATCTTGACTTGAATGACAAAATATTTTACAAATTGATTATAATGCCTATATTTGTGTGAACTTGACAGACAATAACAAGAGCTTTCAAGAAGTCAGTGTTAGTGGACTTGGAAAACTTGTGTGTCAATTCTTACTGCAATGTTGCTGAAGTTCTTAAAAGAATAAGGACATGTCTTAGCACTGAGGAACTGACTGATTTCAGTAACACCATATTTGGTTGGATGTTAAAAATTGAAGATATGTCTTGGAATAGTGGACAACTACTGTTAGGATTTGTTGGAAACTATGTCACTGAAGTTAATGGAAATGCAGATGACAGTGTCATCAGATTTCATATTCAAAACAGTGTAATCAGTTTTCAAAAGGCTGATATGGCAACAATGTGTGGTTTAAAATTTGGGAGTCTGAAGCCAAATATTTCAGAGGAGCCTGAGGGAGATATATGGAGAAGATATTTTGGGAACAAGGCTACAGTGTCCCGTGCAGATATCCAAAATGCATTGAAGAGATATGAGAGCACTGATGAAGGAAGAATGACAAAGGATGGAGTGAAGCTGGCTCTACTACACATATTGTCCCATTGTTTGTTTGGGAATCAAACTGCCAGGCCTATGAAAGCATACTACATAAACCTGGTAAACGATTTGGATGCATTCAATGCTTACCCATGGGGTGATGATGTTTGGAACGAGTTGGTTGACAAAATAAAACAAAGTTGTGAGGCATTAGATAAAGGCAAAGGGGACAGAGTTACATTCCCTGGGTACATGGTGGCTTTACAATGGTGGGCATTTGAGACATTCTCAGGACTTGCAAAAGGTGGTTTGTGCAAGCTAATAAAGGGCAGAGAAAACATCTTACCAAGGACACTGAAGTGGGAATTCAAGAAAAAACCTACACTGGAGGTGCTTTCCCAAATAATATTCAAGAATGACAAGGTATTAGTGTTAATAGTCTAAATATATCTAGATTATAATATTACAATTTTTTTACTAACAAAGTGTACTTGTTTAGTTTGAGTGGACATAGATCGTACCAACAGAAGAAGAGATTGCCATGATTGGAGGAAACAATGACAGAGGTGGACATGGAATGGACATTGTTATTCCAAATGTGGGGAGGCTAGATGCTGAAAAGATGAAAGCTATTGCAGAAAAAGGCAAAAAAAAGGCAATACAGACCAGAAGCATGAAAAGGAAAACAAGAAAAGTAATGAAGGGAAAAGGTAAATCTGGCGAGGGAACTTCTAAAAGAAGAAAGAAGATTGAGATGGAATTTGAAAGTGATGAGGAAAAACAGAGTGATGAAGGCACTGAGAGTGAGGATGAAGAAGATGATTCAAGTGATAGTGGAAGAAAAGCAGAGAAATATATTATGTTCATGAGCAAACATAGTAACAGTATGCAAAAAAGCATGAGGAAACAAGCTAAGGAGACTGCCAGACTAGTGGCAGAAATGAAAAACATTAAGCAAACTCAAAAAAAGCAGGAAGATCTTTTAAAAGAAGTTCTACTTATTGTCAAACATATGTCACAAGGCAGTGATAAAGGTGAAGATGAGGACACAAGAGAAAGAACAGAGAAAGTTGAAAAGAATGAAAGTCCAGAAAAAGAAGAAAATGTTAATAAAAAAGAAGATGATGACATGACTGGGCAAGATTACGAGAATGATGAGGAACCTAGGCTAAAGGATGATGATACTGCTGACATTCATGTGCAAGAGGAGACTGAGTACATTGCTGCACAGACTGAGGATGATATTTTACATATTGGGGATGGTGGTGCAAAAAATGAGGATGCTGTTCTAGATAAAGATGTTGTAGAGACCGAGCACAATGAAGATGTAGTTTGTGACATGCCTACGTTTAACATATTGAGTCAGTCTCAAGAGATGGACAAAACTGCTGAATCTTGTTGGGGGGTGGGGTCACAGGACAATAGTCAATTTGTCAAAGAGATTTGCAAAACTGCAGATGAAGTGGCGAAAAAGGCTTTTGAGAGCTATTCTTCCAATCCATGTACAGCAATCATAGTGAAGCCTAATCAGGTAACTAAAAAAAAATAAAATGACATTCAAGTAGCATTTGGAAGGTATGAAACTGACATAAAAGTGACATTCGAAGTATTAATGACAAATTAGTAAAGTTATGTGATATACAGTTTATGTGAATTTATGAAACTGACAAATTGGTGACTTCTGTAGTACATATCACCATTGTATATATGATTTTTATGAATCTCAAAACATTTTATGTAATATTGTCTTGACTTGAATGACAAAATATTTTACAAATTGATTATAATGCTTATATTTTTATGATTATTTTTTAGTATGACATTGAGTGTATTTATACATTTTCAATAAATATAAAAAAGTATAATAAATAATATATATTATGGAAATGCCACAGGAACAAGAGGATCTTCCCAAACAAAAGCGTTTTGCTAGGTCACCAGTGAAGTACACTCCATCTGAGCATTCGCCAAAGAGGAGGAAGAGAGAAAAGGGTAAGAAAAGAGCTGACAATGAATTTTTGCCTCCACTGAAGGAAATAGTTGGACCTTTCACAGAAGATCCAACAGAGAGCCCACCAGATCATGAAATAGAGAGGGTGAGAGCATACCTCCAAGTTGGATTGTTGAAGAATTTTCAAAAAAACAAAAATGGCAGAAGGTACAAAGTGAAAGAAGAAAAATGGTTCACAAACCGTTCTTGCTAGACACTATGAAAGTTGAATCAAAAACATGGTTATATGACATGTTTACGAATCATGAATGGATCACTGACAAGGTAAATTCAAAAATGTTATAGTTTTGTCAGTCTAACTCCCAAGTGTACATTTATATGTATGTTTGTTTGTATAGAATGCCATTCAAAGTCAGTTGAATTAGTTTGTAATTGTTAAATGTGTGTTTTATTTTTTACAGCATGTTGAGGTAGTAATGTACTATTTGGGCATGAAACGGGTGCATTACAAACTGCCACAAAACTACACCACAACTGGGCCTTTTTTCTTGCAAATACTGAAGCGGGAGCTTGACACTATATCAAAGGGGCACTATACATACCACAAGTCAGCACAAGAAGAAAATATTGTTCGTGACATAATAGGTGCGAACAACTATAGCCTACACTGGAGCAAAGCAGACTTCGTGTACTTCCCTCTGAATACTGGCAACCATTGGGTTTTGGTAGTACTAGATATCAAGCAAAGAAAGGTAAGAGTGTACAACTCCAATGCTAGAAGAGGTGATTCACTAAGGGATATCAGGTCCTATGTTGCATGCATAACAGTCCTCCTGCCCAAAATAATGGACTATCACAAAGTGTACGAACAGATGGGTGAGGATCCTATGGGTGAAAGGTTTTTGGAAGTTGAGCCTGTAGAAGGATGTCCACAGCAAGATGATGGGTAAGAGGATATAAATTTGCTTAATCAGATTGTATAATAGTGTACTTTTTTATTTTAAAAAATATTTCTTTTAATTTTTGGTGTTATGCATCAGGGGAAATTGTGGAATGTTCATGCTCAAGATGGCTGAATTTCTAATGGTGGGGATGGACATGGATGGCATATATCCTGAAGCAATACCTTTGTTTAGGGAAAAAATGGCAACTGAACTGGTCCTATATAGCAAGAGGAGGCAGGGTGAGAGAGAATGAAATGAAGCTATAAAGAAATGGGATTGTAGGATGAAACAATTATGTTTGTTTTGGAAGACTGTTATATTTACTAGTACTTTTAATATCATGTCACGACATCTAGACATCTAGTACATTCGTTTTGAAAAACTTGGTTAAAGCAACTTTCATTGTGTTTTGAATGTATGAAATATGCTTTATGACAATGCATTGTGACAATGCATTTTATTGAATTATGTTCAAAAAATCTGTTTGATTTTTACATTAAAGATGACTTTGTGTTAATGCATTACACAGGGTACTTATATTTATGTAAGCACGGATTTTTACATGAAGAAAATCCGTGATAAATGACATTTGGATGACAGTTTTTAGAAAACAAAATGACATCAACTTTGAAATTTATCTGTTAGAGGGACGTACGTCCCCTTGCCCAGTTTATCTAGAGCATTTTTTATAGTAACATGTACATGGATACTAGGATTGAATGTCATTTACATGTAGTAAATAAATGACAACAAATTGACAAGTAACATGACATTTTGTGGAATACAAAATGCCATAAAATGTCACATATGTCATTTATACATAAACAAAATGACATTACATTAGTGAGATGACATTTGGGATAAAACATTTGGATAAAGCACAAGTCATAAACACTTAAATGCCAAGAATGGCTAAAGCGTATGAAATATGTTTTATGACAATGCATTGTGACAATGCATTTTATTAAATTACGTTCAAAAAATCTATCTGTTAAAGGGACGTACGTCCCCTTGGCAAGTTTATCTAGAGCATTTTTTATAGTAACATGTAGATGGATACTAGGATTGAATGTCATTTACATGTAGTAAATAAATGACAACAAATTGACAAGTAACATGACATTTTGTGGAATACAAAATGCCATAAAATGTCACATATGTCATTTATACATAAACAAAATGACATTACATTAGTGAGATGACATTTGGGATAAAACATTTGGATAAAGCACAAGTCATAAACACTTAAATGCCAAGAATGGCTAAAGCACAAAACCTTAAACGTTCAACGAAATGATAACCAAGTCCAAACCACATAGTAGAATTGTTAAAAGTACAAAAAAAACAGAAGACAACATAAAATGAGTGGACAAATCTACATCACTGGGTATTAATTGGAATTGGATTTCTACAAGTTTTCTTATTATGCCCAAACACATGGCATCTAGAACATTTTTGACGTTTAGAACCTCTATATTCTCCAATGGATGGAATCCTGCATTTCTTAGGGCGACCAGGAGGACACTTCAAACAACTTGGTGGCTTGCATCTCTGGTTTTGAATAGTAGCAGGAATTGACCAACTGTCAGGATCAGCAATAGGATGCATGATACCAGACCATGTAGCAAGCCAAGCATCTGTTGTGTAATATGGAGATATGTACGTATAACATGAAAGGTGTGGGCGTATACCGATTGCAGCCACAACATGAACACACACAAATTGATCTAATTGAAAGTGGCCGCATGTACAACTTCTAGAGTTGAGGTTTACCACAAAGGACTTGCATCTACTGTCAACAACTTCAAATTCATATGCACATGATGGTTTAACCTGTGAAATAAAAAAAATAAGAATATGAAAGTAGATAAAAGAGAGAATTAGCAAAAGAATATAGCAGTAATATGTGGTTATGAAGTATGTAAAATGTCAACTTATATATGAATATTAAGTAGAAGAGAAATGATAAATAAAAAAGATAATAAGACTATTTGAATATGAAGTACAAAAAATGACAAAATTATAAAGACAAAATGACATATTAACAAACAAAGTGGAATTATAAAAGGAGATGAAAAAATGAAAACGGGCTAATGGTATTCAAAGTCAAAAAATAAGCTTTGACATACCTTCATACGTGTGGATTCAGCTTGCAAAGCTACCAGGCGTTTCTCACATTTCTTTGTGAGTATAGTACTTGTTTTCTCAGCTTTATCTTTCCTCTCTGTGAACCATTGCTGCATCCTTTCACGCAAGAAATCAACAAGTTTAGACACAGAATACTCTCTAGCACAGACATTGACTTTGTTCATAGACTCAGCACAATTTGATGTCATAATATTATATCTCTTTGGGCCAAACATTACTTTTGACCATGTGTTAGCACCTAATTTGTCTAGCCAAGTCCTTATCCTGGGGTCTTCAGAATCCAACATGGATAAGTAGTCATCATATTCTTTCATAGTTGCTGCCATATAGGCAGCTTTGAACTTCCATCCCAAACCAGCTGCAGATCCTCTGAATTTTGATGTTATGTTACGACCAAGATGAGCAACACAAAAACCGTGGCTAGCATGTGGCAAGAGTTCAGAAACGGCCTTGATAAGCCCTTTATGCCTATCAGATACTACGTACAGGTCATGTCTGTACTTTATTGATTGACAAACTTTGGATAAGAACCATTTCCAAGAAGCTTTAGTTTCAGAACCACAAATACCAAATGCAATAGGAACTATGTGATCATTGGCATCTTGGCAACAAGCTGTAAGGAGAGTGCCTTTATAGTAAGCCTTCATGAAAGAACCATCCAATATAAGAACAGGTCTGCAGTAGGGCCAAGCTTCTATCCATGGTTTGAATGACATAAAAAAGGTAGAAAATGCATCATCCTTCCCTGTGACTAGATTAAACATAGAGCCAGGATTTGTTTTCTCAAGCACATAAGCCATTGAAGGCAAAAGCTGATAGGATTCAAGATCAGAACCAAATTGCAGCTGCATTGCTTTCTTCTGTGCTTTCCAAGCTTTGTTGTAAGACATGGAAATTCCATACTGCATACTCATGTCCTCACGAATTTGCTTTGGGGGGTATGGTTTATTGGAAGCATCAAGGTATTTGTGTGCAATAATATTTGCTATCACACTAGCAGACGCCTGTCTATGTTTGCCTTGTCTGTAATCAATAGAGCATGTGTGAACTGGCCGGAATCTGAAAAGAAAAATGACATTAGTATACAAATACATAATATGAAGTTGACAGTCCTGTATAAGAATGGCAACACAACATGACATTCTTATAAACCAGAATTTACAATGAAGTGAATTAAAGAAGGAAAATTGAAGTTACCTTCTGATTTGAAACATTGTTACGCCATGTAGTTTTACAGCTCGAACACTCCAACAACATTTTGGATCTAAGCAAATAACATGCAAACATATTTTCTTGGATGTCTTAGTTCTGTATTGGAAGTGGTTTGTGATAGCATACATCTTCAGATGGTGGATAAGTTCTTTTTTATTTTTGTAAATAGCATGGAGAAGAAGACAAGTAGGATGGGACTGTGTGATGATTTCAAAATTTTGGAGAAATGAGAATGAGTCAGATGATTTAGTTAAAAGGCCATCTGACATATCATCTGACATGTCATCACTGTCTTCAGATGATTCATTTTCTACAGTTGCAGACACAGTGTTACCACAAGAAACAATATCTTCGGATTGGCCACAACTTACCCCAGATAGCATAACATTTTCATATTGACCAAATGGTGGGCCATCATCAAAAGAAAGTGTAGGTGAGGAGGAATGTTGTTGGGCAGAAGAAACAACAACATTCTCATAAGTGGTATGTTGTTGTGAAGCATGGGAAGAAGAAACAACAACATTCTCATCATAAGGGGTATGTTGTTGTGAAGAAATGACAACATTTTCAGACCAAGGAGAAGCAGATGGTCCAACATCAATAGAAAATGCAGGAGAAGATGAAACAGGATAAAACTCAACACAAAGTGGATACAATGAAAAATCTGGTTGAAGAGACTTGATATAAAGATAAAATGTTAAGGTAGATTGATCATTTATAGTAACAGGAGGAGGAAATCCATCTCGCATATAAGAAAGCCTGAAATTATGATTAGCTTTGTACTGAGAAAGGATGTCACTCAAAGAGTTAATAAAAGAAGCATATTGAACATTATAGTTAACATGAAGGCCACATGTGTGGACATTGTTGAACACATTGTTAGAATCCCAAAAACCGTCAACCTTGACCATAACAAGTAAAATAGGATCCATTGTGGTAAAAAGGTTCCTAAAAAAATGCAGCAAAAGAAATATTTCAGTATGAAAAAAGACACTTCGGACAAAATAATGACAGTTTTGTTAACAATATGACAGTTTATAAGGATGTGTACCATTGAATGACAGAACATAAAAAGGCGAAATCAAAAAATGCATATACAGGTAGGAACGTAGCACAAACTAAATGACAGTTTGGACAAAATTATGACAATTGTGTTAACAATATGACAGTTTATAAGAATGTGTACCAATTATATACAATTACAGAACATAAAAAGGAGTAATCAAAAAATGCATATACATGACAGTTCGAACAAACAAAATGACAGTTCGAAGGGCATAATTTAGGTAGACGAATAGAGAATTTAACAAAAACAAAATAAATTGTAGAAACAAACTGATATCTAAACTAGCGGATGAAATTTAATGAAATAAAACAGAGTACAACGACATACGAAATAAATGGTTGATTATAACGAATTTGAAAGCGATCATATGATGAAAGGATCGATAATATGAAATTGAAGAAAAAAACAGAGCTGGAAGGAAAAAACAGAAGGATTGAGGAATGCAGGAAAAAGAATGCAGAAAAAAGCGAATCACAGAAGGATTGACGAATGCAGAAAAAAAATGCTCAATTGACGAACGGAAACAGAATCACGGCCAGTATTATGAAAGCTTTAAATTTGAAGTGAACATACCCTGAAAAGAACGAAACACAGGCAGCTATGAACTCGTACTCAGAATGGACGAATGCAGGAAAAAGATGCAGAATTGACGAACAAGGAAACTACTCGGATAAGGAAACTAACAAGAAAACGGAAACTCTTAACCGCTTCAAACTGGATAACCGAAAAAGGCCGGTAAATTTTAGGTGCCTGTAAACGATCTCAGCCAACTTCGAACAGGGGTATTTAGGATATTTCCTAAAGTAGTAAAACGTAAGATAGGACCGTATAAGTCCTATCAACGAGAGAAAACTTGGTAAGTCCTAATATGAGTTTTTTAGAAGAAAATTATCCCACTCAATTGCATGCTAGCTACCTTACTTTATATCTAAAAGTACTATGTATGAGAGAGAAGTTCTTCAACTGAAATGTAAACCGGCTTATCTTATACTTAAAAAAACTATATATGAGAGAAACAATTCTTATATATGAGAAAAAGTAATCTTGTAATTCAAATTTACTATAAATGTTGGATGAGTTTATTTTTTATTCATCAATATAGATAGAATTGCAATTAATATCTGTTTCGCATACCAGTCCAGGTTTTGCTATATAGTTCAGGTTGCGGCTGGTCTTACTTTCACCATGTTTCTTATGACTCGTTTGGATTGATTGTTAGGGAGTGTTAGTAATGGAAGTGTTAGTAAGTGTTGATACTAACACTTGTTTGGGAGAAAAATTAAGAAATGTTAAGAATTGTTAGTAAAGGTTAGGAAGTGTTAATAATAACTTTTCCAACACCTCAATTGTCCACTTTTTTAACACCCCAATTTGGAGTGTTTTGAGGTGTTGGATAATTATTACCCTTCTCATTTACCCTAAAAACATAAAATGTTTCGACAACTCACTTCGAATCTTTTTAACGCAGGTCTGATGGTCTGCCTTTTTCATCTCTTCTCCTTACTCGTTTCTTCTGGTTCAAAGTAAAATTATTAACACTTCCGTTATTAACAATTCATTCATTTGACTCTCCCAAACAAGGTAAAATTATGTTTAACATTTACACTTCTCCTCCCTTGTGGGCCCTTACTAACCCTTACTAACACTTCTATTACTTAACTCTTCCAAACACTCCGTCCAAATAAGCCTTTGCAAGAGATGGACGCGTCTACACATGTGGATCCAACGTTCATGGTCATGTGTAGAACTGCTTGCATTCCTTTCTACTGTTCAAATTGCTGCGGGACCAAGCTACGCCCTTGCTGTGGCTTTGGATGGGTCACTTTACACTTTTGGATCGGGCTCCAATTTCTGCCTTGGCCATGGGGAGCAGCTCAATGAATTCCACCCAAGGGCAATCCTGTCATTCAAGAGGAAGGGCATTCATCTTCTTCGTGTGTCTGCTGGTGATGAACATGTTGTAGCACTCGATTCGAATGGATATGTGAGTAATCATCATAGAAGGATTGGATTTCTGTTTCCCCATGTGCTTGCTAGACCACTTGTGGCCTTTATCTGTTCTTATCGGTTTAGTATCTGATATAGAGAGCTCATCCTAAACCTATAAACAGGGCCCTGCTTGGTCACATTTGTAAATCAACCTAAATTGCTAGAGCTAATACGATCTAAAGTTTTTTAAGAGAAGTGCTTCATTCTAAAATAGCTCTTTGTGTTCTGTTCGCATTATTCTCTTCTACATCTCATAGAGCAGGTAGAGGTAGAGGAAATCAAGGAAACCTCCACGGAAGAAAAGAAATCAGAGAATTAATCAAACCATCGTAGTAAATCAGATTTGCCTATATGAAAGATTCTAGCAATAGATCATGATATAAATGTATCATGAATAATTGATTATTAATTATATCTGCCTTAAATATTTCATAGGTTATAAATACTGGCTTCCTTTAGCATAGGAAGCATTGAGAGATTTGATGTTTGTTTTATAAATGTCAAGCTAGATTATTTGTCCCCTTGCCTCTTTACTCCCTATCAACATCTACCTCTAGTAGCATCAGCCACCACATTCAAAACACCAAGAATCACTTCCCTTATGTAACCCGTATGGTCTCTGATTTGATTGGTCACTGCAGGTGTACACCTGGGGAAAAGGTTACTGTGGTGCCCTTGGGCATGGGAATGAGACTGATAAGACTACCCCAGAACCTGGGGAAAAGGTTACTGTGGTGCACTTGGGCATGGGAATGAGACTGATAAGACTACCCCAGAACTTGTGGACAGCCTTAAGAGTCACCTTGCCATCCAGGTTTTTGAATTTTATTTCACTTTCACTTCTTTCTAGGCCTTATTAACTCTAAGCACCATTCATGTGCCAGATATACTGCTTGGTTATTCATTGAGATCTGAAGGTACTATCTCTAGTATAAACCATTAAACTCTTCTTAATTTTTCATACAAATTTCAACTACATTAGAAGATTAAGCTCTATCATCTCAGTATTATCTGCTTCGTACTTCCAAAACCGAGATGGCTGTTTCTTAAAGGAATGTTTAGTTGGTAATCTGGAAACCATAATTTTTTGGGAGATGCTATGTAATTTCTCAAAGTAGATGTTACTTGATTTATCTTTCGGACATGATGGGATTATTGCTTTGAGTCACATGATTTTAAACATTTGATCCCCAATGTTATTGATCTGTGTCAGAATTTGCACCACATGGTTGATCTCATTATTTGACTTATATCTTATTTTTTATGGTTATGGAGTGAGTAATAAAAGGTTTCAAATCATAATATATCTAATAAAAGAAAATAAATTTCCCTTATTTCTTTTCAAATCTTAATATATCTCACTTTAAATAAAAGAAAATATTAGTTAGACTCATCAATAGCTGTCTTCTCATTATTTCTGTCATCAAACCACATTTAGCATGAACTTCCAGCTTCCCGTTGTGCATCACTAGGCCACCCTAAGTTTAAGTTTGGATCCTGGAAATTGATATGGAAAAGAAAGTGATATGGTTTTACCTCGGAAATCTGAAATCTGAAGGAAAATGAAGTATGATCAATGTTTTTCAATTGTTACACATTTAGATTTCTTTGTATTTATATATAAGAAATAATTTTAAAAATGAAAGTAAACAAATAGCAAACATAAAATTATTGAATTTGAACCAATACATTACTTTTCTCATTATTTTCCTTCTCACCAAGTTTCTTCTATAACTTTCTATCTACGATGTTTTCGTAGCATTTTGATGCTCGAAATGGACTCTAAAATTGCTTTGGTTTACATGATAGGTTTGTCCAAGTAAGAGAAAGACTTTTGTAGTGGTAGATAATGGCCTGCGGTCCCACCGCATATCTCAGATTAGCACCGCACTGTACCACACCATAGTAATCACCAATTGGGGACAACTCTTTGGTTTTGGTGATAATGAAAGAGCCCAACTCGGACAAGACACACTCCGAGGATGCCTCAATCCAACTGAAATTTTGGTGCCGAAGTCATCATGAATGTGAAAGTTGGACCAATATAGTTTACACTGTTTTCAGGTGCATCTCTAGTTGTTATCATTAGTATATGATTGTCTATATGGACATGTTTACTTTGTGCGGTCAGGGATGATAATGTTAAATTTATTAACTTACAATGGTATTCTTTTAGGAATGTTTGGTTAATGGGACAATGTACTGCAACTTCATGACAGGCAGTATGTATATCTTGTGTTCTTTTCTTCACCACTATTTCATCTTTGAATAACTAAATGAGAAAAGGGTCAAATAAGACCTTCTACTATTATGAAATAGTCACATAAGGTCATGTACTCAATAAAGTGTCATATAAGTACCTCTACTTGTATAAAGCAATCAAATGAGTCCTGACGGCTTATTTAACACCTCGTAATCCCGATTTTAGCTTACATGTCTATTTTTTTGACTTGTATTTCAACCAATCTTAGTTAAATATTCGACATATGTCGTATAATGTATTCTAAAAAGATGGTCAGAAGTACGTTGAAACCGGGATTAAGAGGTGTTAAATAGGCCATTAGGACTCATTTGATTGTTTTTTACAAGTAGAGGTACTTATATGACACTTTATTGAGTACATGGCCTTATGTGACTATCATAAAGTAGAAGGCCTTATTTGACTCTTTTCTCTAACTAAATTGATCAGGTTGAAGAGTACATGCAAACCAGATTATGCAAGATCTGAAACATACCAAACTGTTCCCAACCAGGCTCCACTTGATCAGGCAAACTAACATTAACTACGAAGAAATTATACAAAATATGATATTTTAGACATAACCAGACCAGTATTAAACAAGTTATACACACATAAACTAGAGCACCATGAAATATTAGTTAGCGTGCAGTTTAGCTTTCTTCTAGTATGTTGTTTTATACGGAGTAGGAGTTTTATGTCATGAGTTCAAATTCAGTTTTAATTGAACGTTAATCTTATTGTCATTTATGAATACGTGAATTAAATTATCAGTACTAGTTTAGATATCTTCAAAGATGAATTAACATTATAAATGCTCAATTATCATAGTATATAAGAAGTATTAAGAATAAATTATGCTCCATTGACTATAGGAATAGTAAACTTTAAAACTTATGTCCCACAAAAAGGTAGCACTCCCATGTTTTGTGTTTTATTTTGAGACTGTTGGGTTTTAATCGGTCAAAAGAAGTATTAATTTATGTGTTAATTTATTAATTATGTTTTATTTATTTACTTAGTTTGAACAATTAGTTATGTTAGTGGGTGTATGGTTAAGTGGGTGGTTACTTCCCACTTTCTCACTCGTATGTTTGGCTATATATATGCCCTTATTGCCTTTGTAAATTAAGACCCAACATATATGAATTATTTAATGTTTTTGTTTAGTATTCTACGTGAGTCTAAGACTTAGCATGCAAGATAATAGTCTATACAAGGTAGTCAAAGTCAAAAGGCGCACTTGAAGCGCTAGGGGCCTTCCAGCGCCCGAGGCGCAAGGCGCAATTAAAGCGCTCACCTGACTCGGGTGAAGCGCATTACTTAGAAAATATCACATATACTATTCTATAATTACCAAATATGATGTATGTAACATCATATTGAACCAAATGCATAGAACAAAGCTGAGTATTTTATTTAGATTATAGTGATAGTTTTTCAAACACATGATACTATCTAGTGATCAACCTAGTGACGTAAAATCAGAAATTTCAGACAAAAAAACTGATAAATGTTTGTGTGTTTGGTGTGACTTGCGATGAAATATGAAAACCTGGGATTACATCTTTGGAAAAGCACCAAGCAGAGTATTATATACACATTATAGTGTACTACTACTATATTACGATTAGTATGTGATGGATAGTCTACCCGGGGGTAGCTTATCCGAGGGGTTATTGCGGAGAATAACTAGAGAGAAGTTAGAGCAAATAAGTAAGAGAGAGAGTGTATATTCGATATGTATTAAGCGTGGTTTACAATGGGGGAAAGGGGTGCTATTTATAGTAGTAATAAATGCTAGATAAGGACACGTGTCAGTTTTCTGGTGGTCGAGGGGTCACCTAGACCGGGGTGGCACTGGCACTCGCATGTGGCCGCATTAAATGCGGTGATTGGGTGTGACGTTTGTACTTGGTACGGTGATCCAGGCGCATGTGAAGAGGATATTCTGTCGAGGTGGATGCCTTCGGCTGAAGGGTGCTGGGCCGAAGGCTCTTCTAACCGAGGGCTCCTACCTGTCGAGGGCTGCAGGTGCCGAAGGCTTGGTTTTCAAGCCTTGTTCTCCTGTGATGCCTCTTCTAACCGAGGGCTCCTACCTGTCGAGGGCTGCAGTTGCCGAAGGCTTGATTTTCAAGCCTTGTTCTCATGTGATGTTTCTGAGCTCGATTCCGTCACTGGTAGCCTTCGGCCATGGGGCCGAAGGCACCCTTTGCGTATTGTGGGCTGCTTAGAGCTCCATTTTGCTGGGCTTGGCCCGTTTGGGCCTGTTGGGCCTGATTGTAGTAGAGGAAGTATGTGGGCCGGGGGTCCCTGGGCCATATACTCCATCAGGAGTCCCCCACTCCTTTTGCCGAAAGGTACTTGAGGGAAAAGGAGTAGCTGTGGTGATTGCCCCGAAGGCTTCCCTGTTCTGTTGGGTGCCTTATTTTCTCAATTCCCCCATATGTCGTCGGCTGAGAGCTTCCTGAAGGGAGTGTAAGTGTGTTGCTCGTATGTGTTTCTTTGTTGTAGTTTGTAAAGTAATGAGAGATCTGCATTTGTGTGCTTTGCCGAGGGCATTTGTTGACTGAAGGCTTTGTGTGGCTGAAGGCATCATCTGGCCGAAGGCATCATGTGGCCGAAGGCATTGTGTGGCCGAAGGCATCATGTGGCCGGAGGCATCATGTGGCCGAAAGCATCATGTGGCTGAAGGCATTGTGTGGCCGGTGGCATCATGTGGCCGAAGGCATTGTGTGGCCGGAGGCATTCTGTAAGCCGAAGGCATCATGTCGAGGGGAGTAGATTGCCGTTGTGATCTTGCCTCAGCTTGCTGTAGCTGAGAAATAGAAAATTTTTAACATTTGCGTGTTTTGCCGAGGGGAGTCCCCCAGTCCCCCACTCCTTTTGCCGAGAGTTTCTCGAGGGAAACAGGAGTAGAGTGATGCATGCCTTCAGCAGGAGCCGCCGAGGGGTGACGCCTTTTGTTCCACAATGGGGAGATGCCTCGTTAAAAACCTCATTAGGAAAAAACCCTGTGGGAAAAAAATCCTAATGAGGGAAAAAGAGTACACCGGATGCCCCCAGAATGAAGCAAAAGGAATGCACCCTTCGACCTAGATTTTTGAGCGGTGGTTGTGTCCGTCTACTGAGGGGATATCCAAGACTAGCCTTAGATCCTGCATGAAAAAGCTGAGGAGCTTGTAAGGACCCCCGTTATCAAATAAAGGTGATGGAGGGGTGCAAGGCCATGTGGGCCTGTGTGAGAGCCCCTGACATCAAATACAGATGCCGGAGGGATGGAGACCGAGGGGCCTGTGTGATTGCCCCCGACATCAAATAAATATGCCAGAGGGATGAAGGCCGAGGGCCTGTATGATAGCCCCTGACATCAAATAAAGATGCCGAAGGGATGAAAGCTAGGCTGAGGGGCCTGTATGACAGCCCCTGGCATCAAATAAAGATGCCGGAGGGATGAAGGTCGAGGGACCTGTGTGATTGCCCCCGACATCAAATAAAGATGCCGGAGGGAGGAAGGCCGAGGGCCTGTATGATAGCCCCTTGCATCAAATAAAGATTCCGGAGGGATGAAGGCTAGGCCGAGGGGCCTGTATGATAGCCCCTGGCATCAAATAAAGATGCCGGAGGGATGAAGGCCGAGGGACCTGTGTGATGGCCCCCGACATCAAATAAAGATGTGAAATCACGCTAAGGCCAACACCGTTATGACATAGAGTCATGTTGAGGCCGAGGGCCGTTGTGATGTTGAATCACGCTGAGACCGAGGGCCTTTGGTGATGTGAAATCACGCTAAGGCCAAAACTGTTGTGACGTAGAGTCACGCTGAGGCCGAGGGCCATTCTAGTGCCGAGGGCCGTTGTGATGTGGAATCACGCTGAGGCCGAGGGCCGTTGTTGATGTAGAATCACGTTGAGGCCGAGGGCCTTTGGTGATGTGAAATCACGTTAAGGCAAAAACCGTTGTGACTTAGAGTCACGCTAAGGCCGAGGGCCATTTTGATGTTGAGGCTGAGGGCCGTTGGTGATGTGGAGGTCGAGGGCCATTCTGATGTTGAGGCAGAGGGCTGTTGTGACGTAGAGTCATGCTGAGGCCGAGGGCCGTTCTGATGTTGAGGCCGAGGGCCTTTGTGACGTGGAGGCCGAGGGCCGTTCTAATGTTGAGGTAGACGGTCGTTGGGACGTAGAATCACGTTGAGGCCGAGGGCCTTTGGTGATGTGAAATCACGCTAAGGCAAAAACAGTTCTACGTAGAGTCACGCTAAGGCCGAGGGCCATTCTGGTGCCGAGGGCCGTTGTGATGTGGAACCATGCTGAGGCCGAGGGCCGTTGTTGATGTAGAATCACGTTGAGGCCGAGGGCCTTTGGTGGTGTGAAATCATGCTAATGCAAAAACCGTTGTGATGTAGAGTCACGCTAAGGCCGAGGGCCATTCTGATGTTGAGGCCGAGGGCCGTTGGTGATGTGGAGGCCGAGGGCCATTCTGATGTTGAGGCAGACGGCCGTTGTGACGTAGAGTCATGCTGAGGCCGAGGGCCGTTCTGATGTTGAGGCTGAGGGCCTTTGTGATGTGGAGGCTGAGGGCCGTTCTAATGTTGAGGCCGAGGGCCTTTGTGATGTGGAATCACGTTGAGGTCGAGGGCCGTTGGTGATGTGAGATCATGCTAAGGCCAAAACCGTTGTGACGTAGAGTCATGCCGAGGCCGAGGGTCGTTCTGATGTTGAGGCCGAAGGCCTATGTGATCTGGAATCACGCTGAGGCCGAGGGCCATTGGTAATGTAGAAACAAATTGAGGTCGAGGGCCTTTCCTTGATAGTTCTGGGAGTCCTTCGGGTGTATGTTCCTTCTTTCATTCATCGACCGAGGGGGTTGATTCCCCGCCTCGGCCGAAAGGGGGTCCAAGTGATCCGTCCGGGGGTTCGTCTGTTAGTCCCCCGGCGCTGGGCCGTCCCTTGATTGTTCCAGGAGGTCGTATGTTAGTCCTCCTGATGTGTGTTCCTTCTTTCAGGCTTCGGCCGAGGGGGTGGCTTCCCCGCCTCGGCCGGAAGGGGGTCCAAGTGATCCGTCTGGGGGTTCGTCTGTTAGTCCCCCAACGCTGAACCGTCCCTTGACCTTGGGGGGTCCCGTCGTCTATTTACGGCGCGGGCTAGGCTTGGTCAGTTTCCGACAACTGCCGTTTCACCCCCAAGTTTGGGGATTTCGTCACCTCAGCCATTCTTTCAGGCCTGTCGCCGTGCATTGCACGCCGGCGACGCGGTGAGCGTCCCGCTCCAAAAACGCGGGCCTTTTGCAGGCCCCTCGTCTTTAGACACCATCGGCCATACCTGAGCATTTGGCCTCGAAGGGGCCGATACGATGTCTGGATTGTGTTGTAGTTTACTTAAATTCATAGAAATAAGCGGAATACAAGGGGTGCGTTGTTTGACAATGGCTTTGTTAAGATACACCGCTCAAGGCCGAGGGCTCTAGGCCGAGGGGATGATAATGTGCCCCGAGGCGAGGGCCCAAGGCTGAGACTGACGCTGAAGGCGAGGAACATGATTAGCGGAGGTGGCGCTTCTTCGGCTGGGGCTCCTCGAACTCCTCGTCGTCGCTGAACCTCCCGATTTCATGTTTCTTCGTTGCGATGTCCCCTTCTTTTTTATCGGTGTTCTCCCCGGCGTTTTTCCTTGGGGCATTTTTGATGAATTGGTGGAGCTCACCCCGTTGAATTAAGAGTTCAATAGCCTTCTTTAACGAGACACAATCGTCTGTATTGTGGGAGGTGGTTTTGTGGTAACGGCAATAAGTGCCGCCTTGGTGGATGGCGTAGATCTCCCTCGCTGACCGAGGGTCCTTGGGGAAAGGGTCCTGCTCTTCCGCATAGTTGAGGATAGTGCTTACCGGGTGCGTGAGGGGAGTCCTCGGCATGTCCAGCCGAGGGCGCCATTGGCGGTCGTTCCGGCCCTGCTGGGTGTGGCCTCCAAGGTCCCAACCCCCAGCCGAGGGCGCATTTGGGATCGGCGTGTTGTTTGCCTTCTTCGAGAGTTGGCCTTCGTTCTTCTTGAAGGAGTGGAGGTCGTCGGCGTATAAGCTCCCCCACTGGAGTGCTCTGAGGTATGATCTTGGGGGGTCGGTGATGAGGCTCCGTGCGTAGGGGCTGCTGCGGAGAACCCCCTGGAAGAGGACGAGGAGGGTACGCTCGTCGGCGCCCTCGACCTCGTCTGTCTCCTTCATCCACCGGTCAATGAAGGACCGAAGTGTTTCGTCAGGCTATTGCTTGACGGAGAGGAGGTGGGAGAAGTGCTTTCTCGCGCGCTTCCTTCCTGCGAAATGGGTGAGGAAGCGTTGGGCAAGATCTTGCCAAGAGTCAATGCTGCCCTCGGGCAATCGGTTGAACCATTCGTATGTTGGTCCCTCCAAGGTGGAAAGGAACCAACGACATAAATATTCATCCGATGCTCCCATCATCATCATGTTGTTTTGATACCTGCTGTAGTGCTCCTGGGGGTTAGTTTTTCCTTCATAGTTCTTGATGGGTTGCCCTCGGTACTTCCGTGGAATTTGGGCTGCCAATACCCTTGGGGTAAATGGCGTCCGAGTTCGAAGTTGCATGACGGGTTACCCGGAGCCTTCGGCAAATTTCCTTTGCATCTCCTCCATCTTTGCTAGCATGGCGGTGTATTTGGGGTCCGCCTGTGAGGCGGAAGCTGTAGTGTGCGCCTGGCGGGCCTCCATTTCATCAAGGCGGCGCTGGAGGGCCTCAATCACTTCGTCTCTGGGATCCCTCGGGAGGGCCTCCGCCCCCTGCGAGCGTACCCGAGCGGAGTGGGCCTGGTTGATTTGATGTCTGGCGTCGTTAGCGTGGAGTAGTCCCTTGCCTTTGTCCCGCGGGAGACGTCTTTCGTCTGCCCTTGAAACGGACCCCCACTCTCTTGGGGTCTTTGGAACGCTGTTCCACCGAGGCGGTCTTGGACCCCTCGGTGGTCTTGGCCCCTCCGAGCCGTTCGAGGACGGGGGTCCTGGGCCTTTCCTTGTTTGCGCCACGACAGTCCCAGGATTGGACTTCCTGGGAGGCGGTGTCTTGAGCCACGACCCCTTCGTCGTTCCAAACCCGAGGGGTAGGGTTCACGAAGGGGGGTGGATGCGAGAGAGGTATAGTGTTCTCCCCGACCTGTGGTTGAAGGGGCACCAGAGTGTCGAAGGCACCTGGATTTTGGGTGAGTGTTTGGATGAAGGCGGAGAATGCCGACTGCACGTCGGTAGTGAGGACCGGAGAGCTCACTTGGTTTTTGCTCCGGTCCTTCTTTTTGGCCTCGATGCCGAGGCGGGCATCGGGGGCATTCCGTTGGAGCTGAAGGCGCGGGTCGACAGCCGTCTGTTCCAACCCAGTGAGGGCGCCGCCCTCGGGAGCCCTGTTAGAGGCTTCGGAGGCGTCGACGTCGCCGAGGGTCAGGTTCCTGTCCTCATGAGTCTTGGATTGGGCACGAGTTGCTCTCACCATTTTGATAGGTGTTTTGTGTTTTTCCGAGGGGGAGGGTTTCTTACTTGATTGTTCGACCTCTCAACGAGAGCACCAAATGATGGATAGTCTACCCGGGGGTAGCTTATCCGAGGGGTTATTGCGGAGAATAACTAGAGAGAAGTTAGAGCAAATAAGTAAGAGAGAGAGTGTATATTCGATATGTATTAAGCGTGGTTTACAATGGGGGAAAGGAGTGCTATTTATAGTAGTAATAAATGCTAGATAAGGACACGTGTCAGTTTTCTGGTGGTCGAGGGGTCACCTCGACCGGGGTGGCACTGGCACTCGCATGTGGCCGCATTAAATGCGGTGGTTGGATGTGACGTTTGTACTTGGTACGGTGATCCAGGTGCATGTGAAGAGGATATTCTGTCGAGGTGGATGCCTTCGGCTGAAGGGTGCTGGGCCGAAGGCTCTTCTAACCGAGGGCTCCTACCTGTCGAGGGCTGCAGGTGCCGAAGGCTTGGTTTTCAAGCCTTGTTCTCCTGTGATGTCTCTTCTAACCGAGGGCTCCTACCTGCCGAGGGCTGCAGTTGCCGAAGGCTTGGTTTTCAAGCCTTGTTCTCATGTGATGTGTCTGAGCTCGATTCCGTCACTGGTAGCCTTCGGCCATGGGGCCGAAGGCACCCATTTGAGTATTGTGGGCTGCTTAGAGCTCCATTTTGCTGGGCTTGGCCCATTTGGGCCTGTTGGGCCTGATTGTAGTAGAGGAAGTATGTGGGCCGGGGGTCCCTGGGCTATATACTCCATCAGTATGATACACATAGTATGCTAGTAATATACTTCATCATTTCATCATTTTCATTTACCCCAGTGTCGCAAAGGCTCCCACCTACGGTGGGGTAAGGGGGGTTGGATGTACGCAGTCTTACCCCTGTACTAAAGCACAGAGAGACTGTTTCCGGATGACCCATAATGAACATCCCATCCAAAATTGCATGGACTGACTGCTGCTTCATAACAAAGAAGTGCAGACAGTTTAGTAAGCCATTTTGCTTTATTTCATCATAATCTCAAGCCAAAAAATAATGAATCTTTGGCTCCATTGCAAATGATGGAAATGCTAGTAATATACGTATATACCAATAACTAAATTAGTAGTATACTAGTATTATTAGTTTATTATACATTTAGACAATAGTATTTAGATGCTAGTGTAGTATGAGTATAAGAGTATAAGACTATATGTCTATATGAGTCTAAAATATTGGATGAAGTGGACTGCATAAAAAGAACACATACCTTATTTAGAGCTGTGAGGAATTTGAGGTTGCTTGAGAAGATGAAGAAACTGAGGAGAGTGAGTAGACTAAATAGCGATGTTTAGTGACTTGAGGTTTAGCGAGAAAACTTGGTTGTTTACGCTCGCTTTTACATCTTTTCATACGTGACTTGAGGGGTTATATGTAGGTTTTACTTGTTTTACCCTATTATTTAGATGGGCTGAGTGTTATTACATATATAGCTAATTATTTTTGAAAGTTTTAAAGAAAACGAAAGGCTGTCAGCCTTATTCGCAGCAGGCGACCCAAGCGTGCGACTTATTTCGCTTCAGTGCTTCATGCGCTTCTGCGCTTAAGCTGCGCCTAACCATCTGTGTGCGCCTCCCCTTCTCCCAAGCGCTGGAGCCCCTGCTCGTTGTGCCTGGTGCGCTTAAGCGACAAGGCGCGTGCTTTTGACTGCCTTGAGTCTATAATATTTTTACGCAACTCCTACCTCTCGCAACTGCTTCGTTTTTCTTTCTTTCATTTTATCATTATTGCTCCTAAATTCTACATTTGGTATCAGAGCCCCCAAAGATCCGTTTGAAGAGTTTGTGAAGCCCTACTTTAATTGATCGAGTTTGATCCATCGTTGGTGAGAGTGCAACCGGGTGCGGGATAAACGAACAGAAAGATATCATAACAAGTTGTTGTGATTCAGTTCGTTTCGCGGGTGACGGAAAACGGTAACGGTGGTTGTGACCGTGTTTTCTTGATTGGTAGAAAAGTGCTCTCGGAACAAGCTTGATCAAAAAAAGGTAGGGACCGTCCAACAAAAAAATCAATGGCGTTTTTACCAAAAGAAGGAGGCTCAGTGACGTTTCAAGTTCCGGCCTTGACCCCGACTAATTATCCGGTGTGGGCTATCAAGGTAAGGATGATTATGGATGCATATGGGTTATGGGAGACGGTCGAACCAAGGGCACTAGGTGAACGATCGGACCCAAAGAAGTCGAAACAAGCTTTTGCATTCTTGTTTCAAGCAATACCCGAAAACATGGTGTTACAAATGGCGAGTTACACCGACCCAAAGCAGGTATGGGATGCTCTAAAAACGCGGTATTTGGGAGTGAATCGGGTGAGATTGGCTCGGCTTGCAACTCTAAAGAGGGAGCTCGAAGGTTTGCGTATGAAGGAAGGCGAGACCGTTGATGACTTTGTGGCAAAGTTGACCGGTTTAGCTTCAACGGCAAGGAGCCTTGGATATGAGCTTGAAGAAGTGGATTTGGTGAAAAGGCTACTTGATTCAATGCCGAAGTCTTTTCTCCAACTCGTGGCTTCAATTGAGCAATGTTTTGAGCTAGATTCGATGCTATTTGATGAGGCCGTTGGAAGATTCAAGGCGTACGAGGAACGTATAAAAGGAACTGAGAAGATAGAAGACACTCAAGATGGTTTGTTGTTGGCAAGTGAAGAAAAGTTGCATGGTTGTAAACATTGCGGCCATGGAGGTTCAAGTCAGGGTGGCTTCGGACGTGGACGAGGAAGAGGTCGTGGGTTCGGGAATAGTCGTGACGGTAATGAACGTATCCGGGACAAGAGCAACATTACATGTTACAAGTGCGGGGAACTTGGTCACTATAACAATGAATGTCCTAAGTGGGAGAAGCAAGCGGCATACTTGATTGAAGATGAACCGGCACTGCTGTGAACAAGCAGTATGGAGTGACCGATTAAGGGGGTGATTGTTGGGTTTTAATCGGTCAAAAGAAGTATTAATTTATGTGTTAATTTATTAATTATGTTTTATTTATTTACTTAGTTTGAACAATTAATTATGTTAGTGGGTGTATGGTTAAGTGGGTGGTTACTTCCCACTTTCTCACCGGTATGTTTGGCTATATATATGCCCTTATTGCCTTTGTAAATTAAGACCCAACATATATGAATTATTTAATGTTTTTGTTTAGTATTCTACGTGAGTCTAAGACTTAGCATGCAAGATAATAGTCTATAGTATTTTTATGTAACTCCTACCTCTCGCAACTGCTTCGTTTTTCTCTTTCATTTTATTATTATTGCTCCTAGATTCTACAGAGACAAGCACGGACACTGGCTATTACAACTTCAAGGATATGCGGTACTAAAGAAAGCCACAGCCACATTGTCTCTTAATATCCCAATAACTGCCTCATTAGTTTCTGGGATATATTTTGGAGCCTTGAACTGGTTTGGAGTAGCTCCCAGACCTACAAAGTGATTAAGAACCTTGTTGAACGTCCCTTTCCTCACCACGCGAATCTCCAGCGGACCAATGGTCTTGACTCTTCTAGAGACAATATACCCAACATCTGCAAAAGAAAGGTCCAAGCAGTTGCAGCATTCTTGCAGAACTTGATGATCAATTGCCTCCCCACTCAATTCCCAGATGATAATGTAATGGCCTGGATATGATGATGTGTTGACATGGCTTGTGAAGTCAAGTAACTCAATCTTGGATGATGGGTTGCTGCTTAAGATTTTTGCAGCTGTTTCCACAGAGAGTATGAGATCTTCCTCTGTGTTCTTGTCAATGTCGATACTGAGGATAAGACTTTTCCTGCCAACGAATTGGAGCAGTGGGGTGCAGTTATGGAAGCCTTTCACCTTCACTATATCTCCCAGGCGATACCGATACATTCCTGCATGCATGCATATTTGCACTAGGATTAGATAATTAATGCATTATGTACTTGCAGTACATTATATACTCTTTCCCTGCCATCAAGTTTGTCATTTCAGTTTTTATTTCTTCGTAAATTATTTGGTCTGAAACTTTGGTCAATGTTTGTGTCCGGGTAGCCAAGAGAGTATAATGGGTTGGGTTGGTACAAATCTGGGATGATCAGACTCATCAGAGACTAGTATGCCCTGAATGTATGTTTCGGTGAATTTTATAAATGAGAGTATTTTTTACCACAAACAATGTGTATTCATATTATTAATACGTTGTAATTTTTCGCACATATATAATTGGTCAAAATTCAAAATGGTTGATAAAAAGGTCAAGCATGATGTATCTTTAATTTGTACGGTGGGAAAAGTAATAAAAAGAGAAATTACGCAAAATAGGATTAAAAACGTTTGTGTATTCCAAAATAGGACTATCATGTGTTTTTATTCTCAAAATAGGACTAATTACTGTCATGTTTTGGCAGTACCAGACTTTAAACATGATAGTATTTTCTAAACTTGGCAGTAATTAGTCATATTTTGGGAATAAAAACATGACAGTCCTGTTTTGGAATTTTCAAACTTTTTTAGTCCTATTTCGGGAATTTTCCCAAAAAGATATTACCTATTGTTGGGATAATGGGTTGGGTCCAGTACTATCAGCCCGTTGCACCCGAGCCTAGGCCCGACCAGGCCCCAGGACACAGCTCGACTAGCGGAAATTGGCCCAGGCTTGTTTATTCATTTATTGGGCTTGCTGGCCCGTTACCATCGGGACTAGTTATTAAATTGGGCCAAGCCCACATAGCATTATTTTTTGGACTTGTGGTGGATGCCTATAAATAGGCCATCACCCCATGTATTCACTACGTTATTTCTACTATACTGAAGTGTTGTCGCTTTCTCTATTCGGGTTATTTTCTACCAACACCTATAGTAGGAGTAAAACATGAATAGATAATTAAGACTTATCTATTCAAAATATGAGTAAAACATTAACAAAATTATAAAGTAGGATTATATATGCTTTCATTCCAAAACGGACTGATGAAAAAATAAATAAAAACAAAGTTTTTTCTTTTATGAGAGAAATAGTCATATTTTGAAATAAATCACTGATATTCTTATATGATAACTTAAACTGTATTACACTACACTTTGGTCCTATTTAGAAATCTTGTCTAAGAAATAAATAGAAAGTGTCCAAAAATGAAATACGTAGTATAACGGATTTCCTCCACCGAATAAAACATTGTTTTTGCTCATCAAAACAACACTTCTTCACTATCGAAAGACGTTTTGACTACGTTTAGCAGTCTGTTGTGACTAAATGAATCATACTTCTAGCATGGAATAAGGATGATAAGAATGTGTTGCTCTTATTTAAACATTTTTCTTGTGAATTACTCATCTTATTTATTTATAGCAATTTCTCTCATGATATTTAAGTTCATGTACCACATATAATATAATTTTAAGGTAAATGCTCAAAATAGGACTAAAACATAGACAACATGCACAAGAAGTAATATTTATGTTTTATTCTCAAAATAGGATTATTTTAGTTTGCAACTCAGTTTATTGTCCAAATTGGACTTTGCAATAGACAAAAAGGCCTTGATGCACACTAATTAGTAGTGCATAATTACATGTTTTTATGTTTGATTTATGTTAATTGTTTGACGTTTTATTTAGTTTGTAAACATTTATGTGATTTCAGTTGTAATTGTATTTTAGTCTATTTTTGTCAGTTGTAAAGTTTAGTTAGGGTTTATGGTTTGGAAAGGAAGACTTTGAAGTGAAGAAAAAGAAGATTTGGCTGCCCAGGAGCAAATACCCGACCGGGTATAATACTTGACCCGGTCGGGTAAGAAGTGAAAAACGAAAATGCAAAGAAAATGCATGGCCCGGTCGGGCCCACTACCTCACCCGGTCGGGTGAGAAGTGACCGGGGACAACCCGATGTGCAAAGATCACCCGAACGTGAAGAATATCCAATTTTTGCACTCACCCGGTCGGGTCCCCTACCCCACCCGGTCGGGTCTGACTTGACCCGAACACTTTAACATGCTGAAGATCGCCAGAACGTGGAGGATATTTGATTTTGACATGGACCCGGTCGGGTGAGTACTTGACCCGGTCGGGTACCCGGCCAAAGGTGTTGAAAAACACCTATAAATAGCACACTTTTTCTTCACAAAAAAATCATCCATTCTTCCAATCTCTTTAGCTCAGTTTAGAATAGCATTTCTTTATATTTTTCTAGCTATGTTTAGTCTCCAAATGAGGGGCTAAACTTCCATTCTTGGTGTTGCTCTTGAAGCTTGTTGATTATTAAAGTTGTGAGTTATTTTCTTAACTTCTTTCCTTGAATATTAATTAATAGTTCTTTCCTTAATACCATCTCTATATTAATGTTGGGGAGTGTTGCTAAGATGACAATTAGTTAACATCTCGACATTAGTTAGAATGGTATTTTCTTCCTCTATATTAATGTTGAGGAGTGTTGCTAAGATGACAATTAGTTAACATCTTGATATTAATTATAGTAGGATTCATCTTCTTTAATAATATTCTTCCTTGAATATTAATTAATTCCTTCTCTTATTTCATATTAATATTTTGAACATTACTTAAAGGATCAACTAGTTTTGTTTCATATATTAATTATTACTAGAAACGATCAACGAACCGATGGTTAATCGTTGATGGTTTCACAAGTAAGTAACTTCGGTTTATTAATGCACGATCGTGGTTAATAAACTTAAGATGGATTAATTTTGTTGGTTAAACCGAAACCGCTTGTGTTGAGGTTATCAATCTCAATTGATTTCATCAAGGAGTTAGAAAGATTAAATGCTACTATTAAATCGGTATAAGGCGTTATTCTATATTTGATTAATAGTAAGGGTTATTAATGAACGGTCGTTGTTAATAACTACCCTCGATGAAGTGGATATACTCCCCGATTGAGTATTCGAGAGGGAATAAGTTATAGATATACCAATGATCGACTAAAATGTATCAACAAGTGGAAAGTAGCAATGCCAAGTCCTTTTTATCTTTGAATTAAACACATATAGGTTGTTCATCTTAGTTCTTAATTAAATCAAATCACTCAATCCAAATCCCCCCTTTTATTTACTAAGTATCAAAAAAAGAGAATTATTCCTTTCCCTGTGGATACGAACTCTACTACGCTATACTACGTATAGGTGTTTAGTATTGAATTTATTTTGATGCACCGTGACAAAGTGCTCGTCAAATTTGGCGCCGTTGCCGGGGAAAGGCAATTATTTTTCTTTCTATTTTATTTCAAGAAAAATCAAAAAGAAAAAAACATTTAAAAGATTTCTAGTTTGGCTGAGCTTTGTTTGAGTATATGGTTAAACACCGATCTATAAACCAAATCACCTACCAAACAAAGCCCGAAACAGAACAAGCCTTCGAGAGGTTCAGGAATTTATTTTCGAATACTTCTTCGGAGGAATCATCAAGTGCTAGTTCTCATTCTAGCGACACCGAAGAGCAAATCAATATGGCTCTTGAAACAAGAACGTTGAGGGAGCTCACGGCTCCGAATCTAAATCAACAACCCTTATGTATCACTTTTCCAACTCTTGATACGGGGGTCACATTCGAGCTAAAATCTGGGCTCATTCATCTACTTCCCTCTTTCCATGGCCTACGAGGGGAAGATCCAAATAAACACTTGTCGGAGTTCCATATTGTGTGCACAAGCATGTGCCCCAATGGCGTGTCCGAGGAGCAAATCAAGCTGAGAGCCTTCCCATTCTCCCTCAAAGACACCGCCAAAGATTGGTGATAGAGTATATCTAGAGAGAAGTGCAATAATATGCTTCAATAGAATGAATTTGTAACCCCTATAACTACTCCCAAGGGGAGTATTTATAGAGAAAATACGGGCTGGGCTCCCCAGCCTTGGGCTTGGGAGGCCCATTTACAATTGGGCCGCTACTGGGCCGAATACAGAGCCACTAATGGGCTGTACGAATGAGTAAGTATAAAATCCGGTTCTGTGAGGTCTTCGTGACCGACAAGGGCGTGGCCGACGAGGGCACGGCCGACGAGGGCGCGGCCGACGAGGGCACCCGGGTTCCTTGGGCTCAGGACCATAATCTGAGTTGGCACCTTCTCGGCCGACGGGGGTCCCTTGGCCGACGTGGGCGCCACTCGGTGTCTTGTGCTTTCTGTTCTTCCGAGTATGTGGGTCCAGGGGCTCAGACCCATATACTCCATCAGGAGTCCCCCACTCTCTAAGCTGAGACGTAGACGAAGTGAAGGAGAGTTGATTCCCGTGCTTTGGTGCTTTTGGCCAATGCGGGCATTCCCAGGCCGTTAGCTGTTGCGGCGTTGGCGCTGCTTCCATTTTGGTGATCCTGTTCTGTGCTTGGTCGTTACTTGTTCCTCGCTGTGGACGGGAAGGCCGTTGTTTCCTTGGTGCGGTCGTTTGGGGACGATGAGTGTCCTGCTTCAGTGGTGGCCGTTGAAGGCGCGCTTTCCCTTTCTTGGACGTTGATGGTTGGAGTTTACATTTGGGCCGATGAGGCCGTCGAGGTGTAACCTTGCTTCGAGGACGATGGTGTCCTTTCCTTTGGGTGGCCGGTGAGGGTGCTTGCGCACTGCCTTTGGCCGTAGCTGACTGGCTTTCGTGTTCCTGGCCGAAGAGCCCATCATGATTAACCGTTGGCGGAGGACGATGAGTGTCCTTGCCTTAGGTGGCCAGTTGGCCGTTGCTGATGACGTTATGTGCCTTTGGCCGACGAGGCGCAGTGTGATATATGGCCGATGTGGCGATGCTTTGTGGTTACATTGTTTTCATTTTTCCTTTTTGTTTTGTTGAGGCCGATGTAGTCCCCCAGTCCCCCACTGCTTCAGGCCGAAGAGTATGAGGGGTGAAGGAGTTGCTTGAGTCCCTGGCCGAAGCGGCCTCTCCGTTGTCCCCCTGAAT